GATTCCTGAATACCCCTATAAGACTGACTGTACACCCCTTTAGAGTGACTGTACACCCCTATAAGACTGACTGTACATCCCTGTAAGGATGACTGTACACCCTATAAGACTGTCTGTACACCAATTAAGACTGACTGTACACCCCTTAAGACTGACAGTACACATCTGTGAGGCTGACTGTACACCCATATAAGACTGACTGTACATCCCTGTAAGGCTGACTGTACACCCATGTAAGGCTGACTGTATACCCATATGACTGTCTGTACACCCCTTTAGAGTCACTGTACACCATTAAGACTGACTGTACATCCCTGTAAGACTGACTGTACACCCATCACAAGGGTCTGTCCGGTTGGAAAAACCGAGGCTCTGACCAGGCGCCGGAACGGACCAATCAGCGCGCTACCGACCAACCAGGTAGCAGGGTTTCAGTGCCGCTCTTATAAAAAAAAAGAGCGAAGCCACGCACACCGTCACAGTCCTAGCACTGAATGAGAGATCAACCATGTCGTCTCGATACAACTGTATGAAGTGCCAGAGCAACAGTCAACAATGTCCTCGGATGAGTAAAGTCTATTCGTGGACAGTAGTGGCCTACCCACCTGATGAATCGGAGACGATCTTATCGCAGAGCCCGCACTGGTTAAAGAACAAGTCTCAGGCTATTGCTGCATTACAACGAACTATACAACGCGGAATTGACGTACCCGACTGTTGGAGTGGACCGTATTATTACCTAGTCTCGAGATCAAGGAAAGTAATGTAAAACAGAGACAAACCTTGTCCAGTTTGTTTCAGGGCCACCCCACTCCCCCAAAAGAACGCTTTCATCATTGCTTTGCCTACCACAACAACAAAAACCCTCCTCCTTCCCCCTCCCTCCACCCAGCATGCCCCTCTTTGCCAATCCAATATGGCGGTACTTCCGGTAAGGGAGATAACTCCTGCTGGCTTGGATACCAGGGTACGGGCTATAACTACTTGTGTAGATATTTCATTGCAAGGAAACAAAAGTACATCATATGGTTTCGCCTCAGTTATTATCAGAAATCACTGAAAAATTATATCGCAGAGAATGAACAATCTACACATCTGCACCAACAATGCCGATAAAGGAAGAAACAACAATAATTGATGTTGAGAAATTAAACTTGGATAGGGCGACTACAGCAAATTAAAATATAAACACCTTGCAGGTTGGACAAAACGAAAACCTCTGATTACCATGATAACCCGAGTTTTGTTAAAAATTTCATATTGAGGCCTGTCTTTAACCAGCTGATCAAATAGCCTACAACGTAGATCTACGTTTAAATTTTATTGTATTATCTCGCGAATCAATAATCTTCTCCAAAATATATGAGTCCTCCCCCTCAGACACAAGACTTTGCAAAACAAACTACATCTGGAGGAAGCCTGGGCCGTTTCGAAACAATAGGCGAGGCAGGCCTCAACTCTATGTTCCTGGATGGCCGACCCAAATCAACCCTACACACCAGAGATTCAGAATATTTCAAGATAAGGGAATTATTACAAATATAACATCTAATCAAACTTTTGTCTCGGAAATACAATTATATTATTTTTCATCCGAAAATCACCCCATCATATAAGCTTCTGTTTTTTAGATTACTCAAACATAGTTACAATGTATAACCATAGACAATACCTAACTTTTAAGATCAGATATTGTAAAATACATGCCTATTAATACCTAATTAACAGCCAGATTTAAAACTAATATTTGCCTATATGTTAAACGGTATCTTTGTTACCGTTTAGAATGGGTGAAACAACTTGAGATATCCAATAAATTTGAAACAAGTGAGTGAGTGAGTGGGTGAGTATCGTTTTCAGCAATATTCCAGCAATATCATGGCGGGGGGACACCAGAAATGGGCTTCGCACATTGTACCCATGGGAATCGGACCAGGGTCTTTGGCATGACGAGCGAACACTTTAACCACAAGGCTACCCCACCGCCCCCTTGCAAGTGAGGAATTGGCCATAGACACTGAAACATCTTCACAAAGAGGAAACAGTCGAGGCTGTTCCGTGTGAGGGAGAATGTGTATCCTCCACATTTGTAAGGACATAGAGGAATAACTCTTACAGGCTTATTCTAAATATTTATGAGTTTAACAAATGGATTTACAAGCTTCAGCAGTACAACAGAGACTGCACAGTAGTTCCCTACTGCTTTACTGAGGAATGCTCTGACAATGTGTCTGTGACAACTTCACAGTTGCAAGAGCTGGGTTTCATTATCCACTCTTATAGTCAAAGGTATTCCATCTCAAGATATTGAATTTCTGGGATTGAGTCTGAATTCACTGACATGACAGTTGGACGTACTGAGAGAGGAAGGCATTATCTCTTCACAATGCCTGCTCGGAGCTTCAGACTAAAACCAGAGCCACCGTTGAGGAAGTCGCACATGTTGTTGGCATGCTCGTTAGCAGTTTTCAAGGGGTGACATTTGGACCATTATACTACAGAAATTTATAAATGCTTAAATCTCGACCTTGAAATTAGCAAAAGGCAACTTATGAGCCAAAATGTGTGTCACCTCTGTAATGAGGAATGATCTTGTGTGGTTGATACAAAATAAGGCCAGGGCTCGACAAACAGTTACTGTTGTGCATGAGCCAAAGTGAGAGGCGGTCCTGATTGCACCCAACTGGCCCACTACGCCCTGGTATACGCTACATGTGACTATGGTGATGGACTGCCCGTGTATCTCAAAACGGTGATCTGCATCCCTTGAGGAGACGGATTTTTCCAATGGCATGTCCTTTAGAAAATACAGGAAGCCCTACCACTGCCAAACATTCTGACAAAACTCTAGACATCATCATACAAGTCTTGGAGATAGGCCACACATGCTCATTACACAAGCCATCTCAATGTCAACAAGTGGATGCTTTTCTGAGACACAAATTCCCTTCAAGCCAATGTAAACAATGTTCTGTGCTTTGTTCAAGTAGTGTATAATGACGGTATTAGTTATACATGCCCTACTCTTCCCACCTATTTATGGTTTTCTTTTTTTGTCCCCCTCACGACCGTCCGTCCGTACGTCCGTACGTCCGTCCCACCTGTTTGTTGCCGCGATATCTCAAGAACTAAACACTGGATTGTCTTCATATTTGGAACTATGGTGTATATACAGACTCCGCAGACACCAGTCGGTTTTGGTGACCTTGATCCCATTTTCAAGGTCACAGCAGGCAAATCTGTTTTTGGAGTTGGAAAACGGTGTTGCCGCGATATCTCAAGAACTAAACACTGGATTGCCTTCATATTTGGAACTATGGTGTATATACAGACTCCGCAGACATCAGTCGGTTTTGGTGACCTTGATCCCATTTTCAAGGTCACAGCAGGCAAATCTGCTTTTGGAGTTGGAAAACGCTGTTGCCGCGATATCTCAAGAACTAATCGCTGGATTGTCTTCATATTTGGAACTATGGTGTATATACAGACTCCGCAGACACCAGTCGGTTTTGGTGACCTTGATCCCATTTTCAAGGTCACAGCAGGCAAATCTGCTTTTGGAGTTGGAAAACGCTGTTGCCGCGATATCTCAAGAACTAAACACTGGATTGCCTTCATATTTGGAACTATGGTGTATATACAGACACCGCATACACCAGTCGGTTTTGGTGACCTTGATCCCATTTTCAAGGTCACAGCAGGCAAATCTGTTTTTTGGAGTTGGAAAACGGTGTTGCGCAATGTCTCAAGAACTAATCGCTGGATTGTCTTCATATTTGGTACTATGGTGTATATACAGGCGGGGGACATTTCGTCACTTTGTGACAAATACTTGTTTAAAAGGGTGACAATCTTGTGTTACAGACTGACGGAAAATAGCAGTGGACAATCTCGTGCAAACATTCAGCATGCATGTGACGTAACAGAATCCCATACAAACTTCAACTTACAGGAGAACAATTCGTGTCGTATTATTATAGCGTGAGTTTCATTATATCCCTTCACTGAGCTGTTGCAAAAGGGCCACTTAGTGCGTTTCTTTATTAGCTACCGTCTGTGCACAAGAATATAACAAGGGCGAATACTATGACATTGTTTGGTCAATATGTTAGATATGGATTGCATCAGCATTGATCCTACTCTACTAGTATTTCGCTACTGAGCTTGCAGCATCTATGAGGTCACGATTGGAAATGTATAGGCTGTATATTTTGGTGACGGTTATCTTCACAATTTGGAATAAGGATGAATGTGTGGCACTGACGGTGGCTGAGGTATGTTTGTTATCTGTATTTTTATCCCCCGCCGCGCGAAAGCGCGAAGCGGGGGATATAGTATTCACGACCGTCCGTACGTCCGTCCGTCCGTCCGTCCGTCCGTACGTCCCACCTGTTTGTTGCCGCGATATCTCAAGAACTAAACACTGGATTGTCTTCATATTTGGAACTATGGTGTATATACAGACTCCGCAGACACCAGTCGGTTTTGGTGACCTTGATCCCATTTTCAAGGTCACAGCAGGCAAATCTGTTTTTGGAGTTGGAAAACGGTGTTGCCGCGATATCTCAAGAACTAAACACTGGATTGTCTTCATATTTGGAACTATGGTGTATATACAGACTCCGCAGACACCAGTCGGTTTTGGTGACCTTGATCCCATTTTCGAGGTCACAGCAGGCAAATCTGCTTTTGGAGTTGGAAAACGCTGTTGCCGCGATATCTCAAGAACTAAACACTGGATTGCCTTCATATTTGGAACTATGGTGTATATACAGACACCGCATACACCAGTCGGTTTTGGTGACCTTGATCCCATTTTCAAGGTCACAGCAGGCAAATCTGTTTTTTGGAGTTGGAAAACGGTGTTGCGCAATGTCTCAAGAACTAATCGCTGGATTGTCTTCATATTTGGTACTATGGTGTATATACAGGCGGGGGACATTTCGTCAGTTTGTGACAAATACTTGTTTAAAAGGGTGACAATCTTGTGTTACAGACTGACGGAAAATAGCAGTGGACAATCTCGTGCAAACATTCAGCATGCATGTGACGTAACAGAATCCCATACAAACTTCAACTTACAGGAGAACAATTCGTGTCGTATTATTATAGCGTGAGTTTCATTATATCCCTTCACTGAGCTGTTGCAAAAGGGCCACTTAGTGCGTTTCTTTATTAGCTACCGGCTGTGCACAAGAATATAACAAGGGCGAATACCATGACATTGTTTGGTCAATATGTTAGATATGGATTGCATCAGCATTGATCCTACTCTACTAGTATTTCGCAACTGAGCTTGCAGCATCTTTGAGGTCACGATTGGAAATGTATAGGCTGTATATTTTGGTGACGGTTATCTTCACAATTTGGAATAAGGATGAATGTGTGGCACTGACGGTGGCTGAGGTATGTTTGTTATCTGTATTTTTATGTTTGCATTGACTTCAGTGATGTGAGCATGAGATGTGGATGAGTGAAATTCCCCTGCACAGTAAACAGTGTTTACTTTGTTTAAAGAAGAAGTACCTTGTTGAGAGAATTTTCGGAATTAATTGAGGGTTTAATCTATATTCCTATCACATCCGAGGGACTACTTATATATAGAGGTTGAAACCGTACTCATCAATGATATTAATATGAGAGACAATGAGCATATTCCAAGGGGAACATGGCAGAATCTGCAGAGTGTCATTTTAATTACGGAATAAATGACGAGTGGGAGTTGTTTATCGTGCAGGAAAACACTGTGTTTTGGATGTGATCGTTTCGACCATAGCGTATATCTGCTTAGCCCAGCTACATCTATGGGGAACAACTCACTAGGCACTTCCCTCTAAAACTATAACGTCGTCCAATTTAGACGTCATCAAGTTGCGAATCTCGAATCTCCAGAAATGACGTCATGATAGAACAATATTTTATCATGAAATAAACCACTCTTCGTTTTTTTTTTGCGATTTATCGCCTAAGTATCTTATATTTCATATTCAACATTACCGTCTTTCATTTCAAAGATCCTACAATTACCGTGATATGTACAGATATTTCTTTCTGTAAAACTATATCCACATCGAAACTGATAACTTGAATCGGAACTGGAGTAATACACATTTTATCGTTATCTGTTTCTCCTCCCAGCATACCAGACAGCAGATTAAGGAAGCAAGGGCAGCTATCCGACGATCAGACATGTCGCCTTTATACCTTCGCATAGCTCGCCTTTACACGATATAAAGATGCTAAAAATCGTTCCGTTCATAAACATCCCTACCAGAGCATCCTTCAAGGAGAACATTGCAGAATCTTCTGATTGCCATTATAACTAGTTGCAATATAACCCTATTTCACATCGTCCTACAACTACTGTGTTTTGTGCTCATGTTTCGTCCTGTAAAACTGATTACTTGAATCTGAACTTAGCTTGACCTGAAGTATTACAAGTATTATCCTTGTCTTTCTTCCTCCCAGCATTCAAGACAGCAGATCAAGGAAGCAAGGGCAGCTATCCGACGATCCGACATGTCGCCTTCATACCTTCGCGTTACACACCTTGGACATCCGATTGGTAGTGTATTTCATTGCAGTAGCTTGGTTTTGTGGTGTACGCTTCCCAACGTTTTTCTGTGACAACTGAAACTATACCTATGTTGTGCCTACTGAATAAACGAATACTTTATTCGGTAAAGGGTTCACAGTATTACATAACAGCATAAGTGGTAGCGTCAAAACTTTAGGGGAATGTTTAATTCACCAAGCAATGAAGTGATAAGCTATGTTCAGCCTGTACCTGTGTCGTAACTACTGTAATTATAGATGTGCCACCATAATTGTATTTATGCTTGTTCCGAAATGCTACCACGTATTTTCCAGTAACATTATGGTATAGGTTTTGCTAGAAATCTTATTTATTTGGGTACTTGTACTATTGTTGAACATATATCAGTATATCAAAACATGCATCTTCCTACTGTCTTCCAAAAGACAAACACGAGACTTTCCATTGAGAGTTTTTTGGAGACGAATACGATTTTGCCCCACTGAACTTATAGCGTTGTGTAGGACTATTTACTTTATTAATTTATTCAAGTACTATTTTCAACTCTTTGCAATCATGACTCTAAAAGACTTATTGTCCTGTGTCCACGGATTTGAAAACGTTATGACACAAGGCACGCGCAGATAATCATGTTACATCATTAGCATGATAAACAAGCCTCCATCGTATATCAACTGATGAGTGAGTTGGGTTTAACGCTGCTTTTAACAGTATTCCAATTATACCACGGCGTGTCAACTTAATGTGAGAGGAAAGCCCGAAGTGATGCAGGTTTCAGACGTTTATCAGTTCGGTGAAACCCACGAGCACGGGTATGGTGTTGACAAACCTAGAAACATAATCGGGGCGAACCGGGATTCGAACCCACAATCATAGGTTTCTGGCATGCCCAAGGGACACAACTCTGCACAGCGAATCGCGGCGCCTTAGACGAGTGGGCCTCCCGTGACCCCTATCAATTGATGAAGTAACATTTAATGTTACACTACAGTTGATTGTTTGTCCTCAGGAAGGGGGATAGTTGCTGGCAAGGATTTCACCCCAGGCGATTTCATTACCTACTACCATGGTAAATATTGTGTAAGGGAGCCAATAATAGACGAGTACACCTTTGAACTGGCTTGCGACGGTCGCACCTTTTGGTAAGCATCGGAGTTGTCTTTCCCCTCTGAAAACTAGTAATACAAATCTCAGTTTAAAATGCCCCTAGATGGATTGTATCAAAGCAAGGCAGTTTAATGCACCAGCTCTACATTATATAATGAAAAGAAGGCCTAATCCTACAGCGTCTCAGATCATGTGTTTCGATTTGTTATCTAAATATCCGATGCAAAAGTGTATAAATGTATTGTCCGGCTTAAGATATTTTTTGCATTTTCATATTCAAATTGATGCTGCCACAACTCATTTACCACGCTATTACTGTTTGCGTGTTTTCTTATTGGACGGATCAATGCTTCCTTATATCATTTTTCAAGCTGTAATATTTTATGTATATTCATATTTAAAGGATCGATGCTTCCCAAGAAGATGGATCCTATGGTCGTCTCATGAATGATGAGTGGCGTAACCCAAATGCGATGGCAAGATTACTTTTTGCGGACGGGCGACCTCACATTGCCTACTTCGCTCACAGATTCATCAAAACTGGTCAAGAAATTCGTTTTAACTATAATGATAATAGTGATTTTCCATGGCGACAGGTAATTTGTGGCTTTTTTGTGAGCAAATTAATATTTTCACTGTTGAGGTGTATGGAAAAATTATTTTGGAAAGAAAACAATCATTAATAGCATTTAACGTTTAAAAATACATTACCGCATGTACATTAAACTTACATTTTAAAAAAACCTAATGTCTAATAATTATAAATGTGCTATTTCTTTAAAGGCGTCCTCATTGTCGTGTTTCTCATCTCTCGCCGCATGCAAAATTCCCTCCCGCCGAAAGAATACAAATATTATATATTCCTAAATTTCTCGCCGTCCATCAGCATTTCTATCTCGATTCTTGAAAACAAGTATCAAGTTTATAATTAAAGCGTGTTTTGAAACCCACCGTCGTATATATGAAGGGCAGTATGCGTTCTTAAACTGAACAGTTGGAACTTGAAATGGAAGCAACTCTTTGCTACATTTTTTTGTGTGTTTTGTCAAATGGAATTCGCTTCCACACTAGTTCACGTATAAAGCAGGGAGTGGTGTTGATGTTTGAGAAAGCCCCTGCGACTGGGTCTGGCAATCACACAGGCGGGCCTGTCATATTTTGTGAAGTTCGAGGGTGGTGCTACCTTGTCCGTCAAAGTAGACATAACTTGTTACCAATTTTGAAACCCTCCGGTCTACTACCTTTGGTGATTCCCTGAGCGATAAGAGAGTTAAAGTGACTTTGTACCTCAAACAGCTTGCCTCTGAACCATCACATCCTGTCCAAGTTTCCCTTCATCATCCTGTATGCCTGGTTTACTTGCAGTGAGCCAATTTGATAACATTTACTATTATTTCGTCTATTTGTACATATATTTTGTTATTCCGTACTTCATACAAATATATATAATCGAAACCGTCAGGGTAGTCAAAACTTTCTCACTGTTAAACTATAGACAAGTGCGTACTTTGATCTACTGTCTCATTACAAGAAGATACTAGACATTCTGATTTAAATATTTCTTTGCAGAAACCTAAGTTGAATCAGTGCTTTTTTTAATAAATATTTTTTTTCCATTAAGTTGACCGTCGTTGTCCTATTTTCGTTCATCTGTGAAATTCGGGGAAACGATTGATATAAATTTCCATGAAAATATGGTAGGAATTTATTGTATGAATGCTTTTCAAATATGAAATCGGCTCCCCTTTGGAAGGGATATTTTGCATTTCTTTGTTCTAAAATTTAAACTTTATTGAATTAGGGAGAATTTAATCAATATAAACATATTTAATGATCTATCAAGATCTAAACCCGTGTAAAAAACTTTTCAAGACAAAAGTATCCGGTTTCAGTTCGCCCGAGACTTCATGTCAGACGATAGATATTTGTTTTAAAATTATGATGATTTCTGAACTGATTCGAACTTGTTTTTTTTGCAGTTATAATGACTTGAAATAGGCCAAGGGAAAGAATGTTTTTAATTACAATATGACTTCATGTGTTTGTTGTTTTATATCTGCATGTGCTTTCCTCTTAGATCCTTTTCCGAAATGTTTTTACGTTGAGTATTTTCGGTTTCAACTTGCGCTCAATAGTAGACCAGACATATTTTTAATCTAATATTTGGCACACATCGTCAAAACCCTTTTGTTTCACATTGTTAGCTTTGACCACCTTCAGCCATAGGGAACCTCCTATTTTACTTGTTTTTTAAATTTTTGCTCATCCGCCACTCATCCCCCTCCCCGGCAACCCTTGGCGACGAGAAACACAAACATATGTAAGGAATCCCTAAGGAAGGGACCCGTGAAGATTCCGGGGTAGAATAGGTCTTCAGCAACCCATGCTTGCCGTAAAAGGCGACTATGCTTGTCGTAAAAAGCGACTAACGGGATCGGGTGGTCAGGCTCTCTGACTCGGTTGATGAATGTCATCGCTCTCAATTGCGTGGATCGATGCTCATGATATCAATCACTGGATTGTCTGGTCCAGACTCGATTATTTACAGACCGCCGTCATATAGCTGTAATATTGCTGAGTGCGGCGTTAAACAACAAACCGACCAACCGACCCTAAGGAAGGCCAGTTTATGTATGTTTATACAGTTACATAAGTGGCCACACGCTTTCGTTTTCCGTACGTTAGCAATTGGTGGATTAACGTAAAATGGGAATTGCTTGAAATGTTGTTTGATATACAACACTTTTTATTTAGATGTTAGTCTGTAATAACAGTTACTTCATACCAGCGTCAGCTGGACTATATCCTTAAAAACCCGCGATGGCCCGAGTTACACATATAATGTAATAACATACCAGCAACCCTCTTAATACCATTGTGTAGTTGGATGTGTGAGGTTCAGTCATCATCAGCTCATAACAAAGGCTATAAAGGAAGCATTGGACTTGTGGCTTATTTGGTTATCGTCACAAAATGAAGTAGCAATTGAGAAGTGTCACTGTAGGATTCACCGTAGACCGCATACCAAATTATCCCTCCGCTTGTAGTGTGAACATCATGACCGTCAGTGACCAAGTTTTTTTATAATTAACATACCCCCTTAAAAAAAAAGAAACGCGCTGGTAGAGGCAGATTGTTAGTAAAATTATTGTACCTAATAAAGTCGATATATGTAATTTGATATCATAGAAAAAAATATGAAATTTTGGAGCTCGATAGTCACATGTTGTCGTTGGACACAGGCATTGAAAACTGTTCATTGTCATGTCACAGAAGGTTGCGCTGAACTCAGTATCTCGTGTGACCGCCCCGGGCAGCAATCACGGCTCTGCATCTCCTCGGCACTGACTGGATAAGTGTACGAATTCTGCGCCATTCTGCTTCTAACGCATTATGAAGGTAGTCTACCGTGACACCAGCTGTGTTTGTTGGAGCGTTGTCCTGTTGAAACAGCTCCCTCTGGCGATCAATGATTGGAAGAAGGTGAATTTTATTCATGTAGCGAATTGCTGTCAAATGTCCCTGAACCACAACCAAGTCAGATCTCGTGGTGTAGGATATGACACTACCGCCAGCGAAATTGTCGAATTCACGTACACAATTTTGGCCAAAACGATCATTTCGACGACGATAAACACGTTGTCTTCCATCTCGCCGGTGAAGAGAAAATCTCGATTCATCGCTTAACCACACTCATCTCAAGTTTCTTAAATTCCAAGGCTGAAAGGTATGGCACCAACGCATGCGTCGCTGTCGATGTATCTGTTGCAAAACAGGGACGATAACTGGTCATCTGGATTAGTCTGCAGTGGAATTGAACTGTGTGTATCGGCCCCAAAGGCGGCAAATTGTGCTGTGGTGGACGTTGAAGTGGCGTGCAACAGAAGACTGCGATTCCCCTCTTTGGATACGTCCTGCGGCGATGTTCGTATCGGCAGCGCCGAGTCGCAGCATTTTCCAACTTGAAAAAATGTTGACAATTGAATGACTTAAAAGGCTTATGCTTGCCTTTTTAAAGCCACTACCACGAGTTACGAATGCCATAAGTTGCACGTGTATTTTGCTTTACTGTTTTCCTCAATGACATTTTTTAACAAGTGTGAAAACAGTACCGTTTAAGACATTGACAATGGCTGCGTTTGAAAGGACCGTTGGTCGAATATCAGGCCACCAAAGCTTCCAATAACATACATCTAATTTATATACCGGATTTGTTGTGCAGTCAGATTCAATGAACTACATGTATACTACCTGTGCGTTTCTTTTTTTGAAGAGTGTAAATGAGGTTCAACTTTTGATATCGACCAACATCGCAGTAAGGGTCACGACTGTCACCTTTTCCTCCCAATGCTCGTCGAGATAATTAGTGGATGTTTGTCGAAGGAGTGTCTTATCCGAACTAAAGCAAGCTCATGCATGTAGAATATGCTTGGCAACAATAAGAGTCAGTGAGTTTCATTTAACACTTTAAGCAGTATTCCAGTTTAGTCAGGACGTGTCAGCTCAATGTTCGGTAAAAACTTCGGTAAAACCCGCGTTTACGGGTATGGTGCTGACAAACCTGGAAACATAATAGGGGCAAACCGGGATTCGAACCAACGATTATAGGGTTCTGGCGATTCCACGGGAGACACAACTCTACAAGTTACAATACCATGTACAAAAAGGTGAAAGTCTCAATATATATAATTGATTAACTATGGATTAATACCGCGTTGCGTTGTTGCGTTTAATTTTCACATGTACTTTCGTACATTTGTATTTGTTTTACATAATATTATCTGTTAATATTTTATAATTATTATTTTAATATTTCAGCCATCGAAAGTGCAAACCAATCTTTGTTTTCAAAGGACATGGTTGGACCTCCTCCAGACGACCTTTTTGCCGGTTTGCAAAATGGATAAAGAATTGTAATTTTCCATATTTGTTTACTGTATTATTAAATCAGTTCAACACTGAAATATTTCGTTCTTAGTGTCGTTGTTCTGCTTCAGTGTATGAATGTCCAATGTCGGTGTACTTTTTTCAGCACCGACTGCAATACCTATAAATACGACCTACAAGTTCTACACGAGATAACGCTTGATCTCATTCATTCGGAGACATCGCTACATTGGTTGGTTGGTTGGTTGTTTTACGCCGCACTCAGCAATATTACAGCTATATGACGGAGGTCTGTAAATAATCGAGTCTGGACCAGACAATCCAGTGATTGATATCATGAGCATCGATCCACCCAATTTGGATCGATGTCGTGCTTCAACCAAGTCAGCGAGCCTGACCACCCGATGCAGTTATTTGCCTCTTACGACAATCATAGTCGCCTTAAGCTTTTACCATCTTCCCGAGGCAAGAGAGTTAACTGACTTTAAAGGTCCTGTTTCCATCCTTGCCGAATTAGGCTGGAATTCCTGGGCTCGATCGTAGCGCCACCAGTGACTATTACGAGTTATGTCCCGCCATGCCTCTTCTATGGACCAATCAGATTCCACCTCTCGTATCACTTGCTTTTGCTTCACACAAAATGGCGGCTTACAGTAAAGACGATCTGATCAAAAATCAAGATCTATATTGTGATAAAACGGGTCTTACATCGCGAAGTTCATCAAATCACTTGAGCACCTTGATTAAAAACATGAAAAGATTTGGAAAATATCTGTTTACAACGAGTTGGCGGTGTACATGCTTTGCAAACTCTGCAATCAATCGAAATCTGCATTTCAGTTTCCGAACCGGATTTCGATTTCATTGCGCGATTTTGATTGGACTATGCATAGACTCGTTAGTCCAGCCAAAATCTAACTCCATAATACCAGCCTTGTTCGGCAAGGGTGGAAACATTCGTCACCACTCGCCCCTTTCCGTAACCTTTAAGAAGACTCGTCCCCCTATCGATGAATGTTATGTGTGAAAATACGACAAACCAATCAGAATGCGCGTATGGCTTCACGTTCTTCATCAAAGAATCCCACAGCAATAATTTTTGATTTTACATTTGTCTTGCATCTAAAAATATACCCAAGACACAGTTAAATGTGTTCAATCATACCGTATACTTCCGCACATTCCGATGTGCTTTAAATTGCATTTGAAATATATATAATATATGGGGAAATATATGTGAAGCATTACGCAACGAGTTGACATTTGTTTTAGGTGTGCCCGTTTGCGCCAAGACGGAACCCGGTCGCAAAAATGGCCATGAGAGGGGCACGAGTCGCTATTCGGCTTGTCCCGGAATAACACGAGTTGGTCACGAATGGGGTGGAAACTGGACTTTTATAGTCAGTTAACTCTCTTGCCTCGGGAAAATGCCCTTTACGGCAAGAATGGGTCGTTGAAGACCTATTCTATCCCGGATCTTCACGGGTCACATCGCTACATTGAGATTGCAGCTTTGCTGATCATTGTGACGTTTCGGTTACCGTGATGTAACAAATGACGTCCCTAATACCTGTCATTGAGCTTGTTAGCTGTATATTGTACACTTAAGACACAAGTTAGTACAAGTTTAAACTGAAACAGATTGAAGTATGATTTTTTAACGATTATAAATATATAATGATGACAGTAACGATTTTAAATAATTCTGCTCAGATATATTTAGATATATTTAGATACCCAAATATGTTATGAGTTACTGGACTTCCTTGGGGCCCGGGGCAGAATGTGTCCTCGGCACCCCATGGCTTGTCGTAAGAGGCGACATAATTGGGTAGAGCGTTTGTCGTGGCTTGCGTCCCTATGTCGGTGAGGTGAAATGGGGTTTAACGTCGCGTCGAAGATTATTGCACTTATAATTATATTGAGACGTGCATGCAAGTGTGTATGTGGCTGCTTGTACTAGTCCGGACGGATGACGATTTATAGTGCTAACCCACTGAGATACCATGCCGCAGTTTGACATGAATACCCCACTAAGACACCGTATACTGACTCCGAGCCGACGAGTCCTTGTTTTAGTCCCTTAATGCCGAGCGCCGGACAGGATGACAACAAGTACCATCTTTTAACGTCTTTTGGTATGACGCGGTCGGGGTTCGAACCCCGGGACTTCCGCTTCCCAGGCGGACGCTCTACCACTAGACCACGGGGCGGTCATGTCGGTGGAAGAAGGTAATTTGGTGGTTGAGGGCACTGGACCCAGGAACAGTGTTCAATACCCCATTCGCCGTACAACATAAAGTTTGGACTTATGCTTTTCAGTCCAGTAACTAATTAAGAAATTTTAGATGAACCCTTTCTATAATAGTTAGATTCTCGTATCCCCAGATCTCGACACCATATAATAGTATAGGGACGACGATTTCATCAAATGCAGATAAGAGGCAATCTAATGGCAAAGTAACATTTCGGGGCTTCATGAGTAGGCTGAACATGGCTTTAGTTGCGTTTTCTGACCGAGATTTGACTGCTTGTATACATCGTCTATTCCTGTGTAGTTTTAGGCCAAGGTAGTTAGTTATATGAATCTACAGTTTCGATAGGGTCGTGGCCAATAGTGAAACATAATTTCGATTTGTTTGCAGGTCCGGCACCAAAGATCACAACCTTGCTTTTGTTATATAGATCAACGGGGCGGTCGGGTAGCCTAGTGGTTAAAGCGTTGGATCGTCACGCCGAAGACCCGGGTTCGATTCCCGACATGGTTCGAAGCCCATTTATGGTGTCCCCCGCCGTGATAATGCTGGATTATAGCTAAAAGCGGCGTAAAACCATACTAACTCACTCACTGTTAGATCAACATTTAGTGAGTGAGTGAGTTAACATTTATAGTCACATCGGCATTATTTCAGCCATATCGTGACTAAATCAAGTTGTACAGTAATAATACATAAATATAAACATAAATATATAAAATCTGTCGTCAATGGGCAGTAAAAGAACTAGAGTAGCACAGCTATAAATATAAAACTAGTAAGTAAATATACAATTTTAACTTTTCAGTACAATACCTTATAAAAGTTGGCTAGAGGTCACCAGCAACCAAAGTGAAGTCACCATACAAGGGACCACGGTGACGTACGGTACATCTGCTTTCTGCGTGGTACCCAAGCAGGATTTACACCATCCCTCTGGCTACCGGTGATTGTTAGAAAGTTTAAGCCAAAGCATTTAAAAACAAACAAGTATTCTGCGATTAAAACCTTGGAAAATGAAAAATACTTTGAATGAAATAGGACTTATGTACCCTCTCAGGGGGACAATTATTTTACGTTACTTCAACCCCCTTTGAAGGTACAGCCATTAACAATCACAGTTATTAATTCATTCTTCCAAATTAAAAAATATACTTTTTACAACAATACATATCAAAATTTATCAATCAAGTCTATATCTTTTAAAAATCCAAGAATTAAACGAGAACTTACATTAAAAAGATCCTGTATGGATGAAACCTGGAAATAATTATCCCTTGTGATGGAAAAATCGATACAGTCAAGCAGGACATGCTTGACTGTGATTCTTTTATCACAAGGTGAGTGGTGTCACACAGGAATTGTTAATAATCCAATAATGACTTTTTTTATGATAAAGTTGTCTTTTATAAGTGAATGAGATGTTTTACAGTTGTTCATGTGAAAAAACTGTGAATGTTTATTCAGCGTCCGAAAACCCATAACACGGGGATATATGTTGTATTAATGTTTTATGTTTTACAAAAGATAATAAGTACAAAGGTATGCTTTTCTCAATATGCTTCAACATGGGGAAAGGGACATTGCACGTTTGTGGCAGTATTGCTCCCAGGTGGCGTCCTCGTCCACTAATGCCTACATCCACTAATGCCTACGGCCTACAATAAACAAAGTCATGCACCAGTGATTTTCAGCGACACCTACTATCAGTGCATCATTTCTGCATCATTGCGTTAGTTCTTATAGTATATACAGCAGCAGATATTTGATGATTTCAAAGAAATTTCAAAGAGTTCATTCCTAGCATGGGTATGTTGTTTTCATTGTGTAGGATTTATTCCACACTGTTTTATTTATTTGTAGGCAAAAGTGGACTTAGGCATTAGTGGCTGGAACCCAGGTGGCCGGGTGCGCAAAAACTATTCCCGATTGTTTAAAAGTACTGATTTAACTCCGAAATTTTACATCCGCCATCTTTTTCTTTTTTTTACTTTTGCCACTGTTACATTTGTTGGTATGACTATTGTCCAGACGGCACAAAATTGCTTAAAATGCAATCAAATGTTCAAAACATTTCTTGGGGCTCAGTCTAATATTGTTAGCAAAGTCAACAAACTACGACCATAAATGTAATGTACAACAGGCGCAAGAAAATTTAAAGAAATTCTTACAAATACAAATGATAAGAAGTCGAATATGAATACTTACACCTGTACTTTTTAGAACAAGAAATTGACACATGACGTATTCAGATTAAATTGATATGTTCTTTACTTATGTAAATGCAAATGATAAAAAAATAATTAACAGTGAGATACTATCGCTATTGTGCAAAGCATCCAGTCCAAATGAAAGTGAACAGCATGCCGATGTTAGTTGATAGTTGATAGTTCTAAACAATCAGGCAATCAACATAATGACGGCATCAGTGGGCACATCGTGATATTTGAAGATAAAAAATGATAACACATGTCATCAGTCTGGGAAGTAATACACAGCATCTTGACAATGAACATAAAGAAGAAGAAGAAGAATAGTTTATTAAAGTGTCACTATTTTAACACCCAACCATTTTGGCTTTTGAGACAAAATACGCATCACCCCCCCACCCCCACCCCCCAGAGAGAGAATGTATTGCCACCAAATTACGTCCCGGCACTTTTATGACATGTAATGAACCTAGTCGGTCCCTGAATCTGTAACAACAACATTGGTCTTATAAAATCAAAGTAGCATAAATGTTACGTAATTCGTATTAAAAAATTGACTGATAAATATAACATGAATATAATTGGCCTTTTGGGGATAACATAATATTGGGAAAATA